TGAGTTGGACGCCATTTTGAAATACAATGAAATTATCTTTTTGAAAGCCACAATAAATAAAGCTTCGCCAGTTTATAACGGATGAAACATGATGGTATCAGAATAATCACTTACATGTGATGTATAGGATGCTACACAGGTCACTGTAAAGATAAAGTGTCAGAGGAGAAATAAGCAAGCTTAGTTACATGAAATGTAATGAAAAATGTAAGATACAGGCTCTGTTTAATCGCCATGCAGGTTCTCTTTTATTGCACACTCAAGACAATATCAATAACAGCATCACGCTGTCCCAGGTGTGTCGTATGCATGTAAATAGAAGTTAACATTTTCAATATCAAATAAAGTGTCAGTAGTATCAAAACATATATATATATATATAATAACAATAGGTAGGCTCAGCAGCACACACACCTTAGTGCAAAGTGAAGTGTCAGTATTAATAACAGTGTCAAATATATAATCACAATAATACAAAATGAACTGTCCCAGGTATAGGCAATTTGGGGTGAAGTGTCTTGCCCAGGGACACAACGACATCCTGACTGCAGTGGGGTTTGAACCTGTGCTCCCCTGATCCGAACACGAACGCACCAGACCACTGCACCACACGCCTCCCAACAAGTCATTGTACAGTTTATCAACGACAAGTCTTTCTTAATTTTTGTATTGAAGGCCTGTTGGATTTAATCAGCTCGCTTAGCACTGCCAGAAGCCCAGCCTGAAAGGTATTTTGTTGCTCCACCTCGATTCCTGGGCCTTGTGTGAATGCAGCAGCCGTTCGTCGTGCATCTCCTTCGCACGCAGGTCCTCATTCTCCTTGCTGACCATGGCACGGCGGTCCATCGCCATGATGGTGTCAAGGAAGCTGTCATCGCGTGCCCGCTTTCCTAAGGTGAAATAAGCAAGATACAAGATCAGTTTAATCGCAACAACGAGACAACATTGTCCAACATTGGACATGGTGCAGGCAGGGACAGTGTACAAAATGCAGGTGTAAAGTAGAAGATAAGATAGGATCAAATAATATCAAATAAAAAATAAATATCAAAGTGCCCTTATTTATTGTTTTGTGCTTAATGTATGCTTGAACTTTGTTTTATAGGGATTAGTGGACATCAGTTAGATGTGTAACCTTCTTTCAAGGCCAGAGTAGTTACAGTGTAAGTGGATTGACATCTAACATAACATGGCTGAGTACAATTATAACAATCAATAAAAAAAAGGAAAAATAAATAGAATTTAAATTACATTTCTACTTAAATGTGCAAAAATATTAGAACATCAGTCTTTGTGGCATGCAGGTAATCAACTGTTTAAGCTTTTACCATTAACATGTAGAATGAATGTTGCAAATGACTTGAAATTATAGCAACTACAATGTATTGTTCAACACAGTCTCACGGCATTTTGTGTTATAGTCACGAAATTAATCTATTGATTCGTGTTCACCAACACGATTTCGCCCTTTTTTTCATGTCACACAGAACGATTTTAAAAGCAATGTAAATAATAACAAATTAGAAGGAAAAAGACATTTAAAAAAATACAGATTTCAGTATTCTGACACAGAACGATTTTAGAAGCAATGTATTTCTATTGGTAGTATGTTTCGTGCCTGCACCAAATAATAACAAATTAGAAGGAAAAAGAGATGACATAAAATACAGATGTCAGTATTCTGAGGCTCTGAGCCATTTCTTTTCCTCACTGACGGCAAAAAAACTCACACATTATACAATTTAAAATAAAAGGGATAGGGTTAGGCTTAGGGTAAGATATTGAGTAAGAACATGTTTTTATGAACCACACAGCTTCTGGTCTTCCAAGACCCGACCGGACAAAAAGACGTGTTGCAGGCACAAAACATACTACCAATAGAAATACATTGCTTTTAAAATCGTTCTGTGTGACACGAAAAAAAGGTGAAAATCGTGTTGGTGAACACGAATCAATAGATTAAATTAATTTCGTGACTAATAACACGAAATGCCGTGAGACTGGGTTGTATTGTTAGAGGTAGCATTATGTCCAGCTAGCATGCTAATTGCTAACGTTATATTATCGTTTTATCCCGGAGGGGAAAACTAGTTTCTAATCCAGAGAGAAACACCTCGCCTGAAACACACGATTAGTGCCATGAGTTAGTGAAGCAAATTACAGAACATTGCACACTTATTCACAAGTCAAAACGTGTTCATAGCGGGGACGGCTGAGAATAGCTAGCTAGCTAGATGTTATTAGCCAGCTTGGACCTATGATAGCAAGTTCTAGCATGGCTAGCTCGATCTACTGAGCAAATAAAAGTACATCTAAGACCAGTATTGTGCAGATTAAAACAGTGCAGTGCATGTATTTTATTTTTACCTTCGTAGTCGTCCCGACATGACTTTGCCAGGTCTGCTAACTTTGCTGAGCCACGGAAACTGCATTCAGTAGAAGCTTCTGAATGCGGCGCTTCGCGTCCTCCGAGTAAATCGCCAGAAGCGCCGACACATCCTCATCACTCCACCGCTCCGATGATTTATTTAGTGTTGCTATAATAACTGCTTTCACAAAAGTAATCTCTTCGGGTGCACTGGCCGAAGCGAGCAAATACAATGGCCGCTTCCAAAAAAAAATCAGAGTCAAACGGGCGTGGTTTGCATTCCGCACAGCCAATCAGACGTACGAACTATTTTCTCCCACGACAGTCCCTGCTCTCTAGCAGGGACTGAAAAGCGGGTCAGATGAACTAATTTGAACTACTTTAGTTCCTGGGGCTTTTTGGTGTGAACGCACCTATAGTGTCATCTTCACCCACTGTGACTGTTAACCCAGAGGAAAATGCTAAGTGCTCCCCTGGAGTGTTTGTGGCTTGCGCTGTGACACGGGCTGTGAGCCGTGCAAAGAGGGAGTCTGAGCAGGGTGAAGAGGTGAGTGAGATAGATTCTGTGGTTGTTCCTGACTCATTGTTGTCTGTATCCCGCAGTGAATTGGTGATAGAGCAGAAAGCTGATGTCTCCCTCAGTCCGTTCTTTGAGGCGGTTCTCTCCACCGGGGATGGAAATGGCTCCACCGGTGGTTGTCTGCTGCAATGGGAGCTGCTGGTCAGAAAATGGTTGTCACATGGGAAAGGCTTCATTGGTGAGCCAGTCTTTCAGATTGTGGTTCCTGTAACATTTCGTGAGGAGGTCCTCAAGAAAGCACATAATAATCGGGACATCTGGGTGTCCGTAAGACATATAATTACGTGTTACGGTATTTCTTTTGGCCTTGTTGAAAGAGGGATGTGTCTCGGTATATTAAATCATGTCACACATGTCAAACGAAAGGTAAGCCAAATCGGGGTGAGAAATCTGCTCCACTGTGTCCCATCCCTCCGAGTGTATAGCCTTTTGAACGTTTAATCGCTGACGCTGTCACGCCATCGGAACCCCTTCGTATTCACATAGACCATGTAAACGGGGTCCGGCATAGGGGGTATTCAGCTGGGGGGATGGCCAAAGAGAAGTTGTCGTCTGCCCAGGTAGGAATGAAACATCGATATGAACGAAGAACTGAGCAGCGCTCGTTTAGTCCTGGAGGCCATGTCCTGGTTTTGGTGCCAAGGGCTAGTTTGCCGTTTCTGGAGAAACATTCCGGGCCTTTCGATGTGCTGGGTCAAGGGACTGACCAAAATTGTCTCCTGTCCACACCGAAGCGTAGAAGAAGAGCTCCTAGTTTTTGGGGGTTTGCCTGACGGTACTGTGCTGTTTCTGTGGTCTTCTATGTCTACTCTGTCCCTCTTAAATTGCTTCTTCAGGTGCTGGAGTTGCTGAGTGGGCAGGGGAAGGTTCGTTGGCTGGTTTTTACAAAAAGTAAAATAAATGCGTTGCGTTAACGGATGTTCACTGTGGTGTGAAGAGGGTCCCGTTGGGTAGCCTGGGTCGACGGTGTTCCTAGTGGAACTCCTTTCTTTACGGGGGGGGAGTGTGACGACCCCTCCACACCACGAGGGGTGCCGTCGGCTGTGTGTGTGTGTGTGTGTGTGTGTGTGTGTGTGTGTGTGTGTGTGTGTGTGTGTGTGTGTGTGTGTGTGTGTGTGTGTGTGTGTGTGTGTGTGTGTGTGTGTGTGTGTGTGATTGCAGGATCCAGTGTCTGACGAGCTGCACCTGTCTGAAGCCTACAAGAGGAGAGCCCAACCGGATTCGTGTGGGCTCGCTCTCATTCCTCTCGCACACTCCCCGTGTGATCGTCGCGGCTGTCTTTTTGATGTCCACTAAATAAAGGATTATTATACTTTCAGACCCCACGTCTCGCCTCCCAGCTTTTTGTTGCAGCCCAAGAGCCGGGTTGTAACAGCAGTTAATTGAACCTGGTTCTCCAGAAGTTAGTAGAGGTAAGACCTTTCAGAGGTGAATCTGAGCCTGGTGGTAAACTTGCATAGACTCAATAGCTTCTGATAGGTCAATCAGTAGGTCTGATTAATAGTCAGAGATTAATACAGGTCCACCGACGCAGCAACAGTTAATTTAAAGAAGACAACATGTGATCATCTGTCCGTCTGAAGGCCTGCTGGTCTAAACAGAGCAGCATGGACACTGTCAGGACCTGAATGGTAGATCATCTGTAGTTCATAGTAAATGTATATTTGTACACACCATAAATATGGAGTCCAGGTCAGTGTGATGCTTCGGGGCAGACTGATCACTGGGAACCTCGGAGAACTCCTGCAGAACTCTGTGGAGAAAACATCCAGAACATTTAAAGAGTCTAATCTGCACACAGCTGACTGAAGGTGTTCTGAGATGAAGACAGAATAACAGGGTAACTGTGGCTCAGCAGGTGGAGGGGGGGGGGGTTCTAAAAACACCAACATTACTGAGGCCTGAAAGCGTCCGACCATCAGAAGCCTCCCAGCAGCTGATGGTGCGAGGAACAGAAAGCCCCATTATTATCTGGAGCCTGATCTCAACCAATCTGTGGTGCCTTCTCCAAAGAGAGTCAGATAGTAACAGAGTCCAGTTTGAAATTCTTACCTTTCATCAGCACTTTGTCCAGCTTTAAAGTTCATAGGAGACTGCATAGAAAAGTCACTCTTCATGGACTCACAGCGGGGTCCAGGTCCAGGTCCAGGTCCAGGTCCAGGTCTCTGCTGCTGGATCCTGAGACTGATAAAGAACAGAGTAATAAAACCACCAGACACCTCACGCCGCCCTTCATGCCATTAACAGCTCGCTGCCTGCCGTCAAACAGAAGGGGGGGGGTCGTCTAAAACAATCCATGATTAAGGTCTTAATTTGGGAGAGTCATCTGTCTTTGCTCATTATATGATTCATAATATAAATAGAAGTCATTAGAAACCAACTCAAGAGAGGTACGTTGGAGCAGGGTTTACTCTTCTCCAAAGAGAGTCAGATAGTAACAGAGTCCAGTTTGAAATGCTTACCTTTCATCAGCACTTTGTCCAGCTTTAAAGTAAGGAGGAGACTCCATAGAAAAGTCACTCTTCATGGACACACAGCTGGGTCCAGGTCCAGGTCCAGGTCCAGGTCTCTGGATCCTGATACAAATAAAGAAGAATTCATCTTTGTGCTCTTCTTTTTATTGGACTTATGATCAAGCTCACATTTTAAACGTCGCGCAGTGGGACCACTTTCTGAGTCTGAGAGTCAGAAGATAGTCCAGTTTTCAATTTCATACCTTCTCTCTGCAGGAAGTCCAGATTTAAAGACAATAGGGTGATCCATAGACCAGCCACTCTTCATGGACACACAGCTGGGTCCAGGTCCAGGTCCAGCTTCAGCTTCAGGTCCAGCTCCAGGTCCAGGTCCAGGTCTCTGGTGCTGCATCCTAATACTGATATCAGAGAAAGATAAAGATGGCGTCTCCTCTCCGTTAACATGAGTCAGCAAAATGACTCCTGAACCCGACATCAATGAGTTCATTCATTCATAAAACAAATGTAATATATTAAAATGTTGATTTGAAAAACAAAACAAAATAATTCAATTTAAAACAAATTTGATTGATTAAAAAATATTTGTCAGATTTACACATTTCATAAAAAAATTGTATTTATTTTTTACATATAAGTGTTGTATTTATTTTATAAATGATGTGATTTAAAAAGTAAATAATAAATTGTGTATTATCGTGTTGATTTAGGAAAATTATTTTATTGAATTAAAACTGATTTTATTTATTTGTTTATTTATATATTAACTACTTTTGTTGATTCACTGATTATTTATTTAATTTCAAACCTTTATTTAACCAGGTGAATCCCATTGAGATCATTGATCTCTTTTTCAAGGGAGACCTGCAGCAAGTAGGTTCCACATGAAGACAGAAAACAACAGAAAACAATACAGGACATCATACAGCAAAGTTACAGGACCACATTTACATAGCTATCGACATTGACAAGTACCAACAGTATCAGATTGTCTAGCATCTATCCGAGCTTTAAAAACATGCAGTGGAACCAAATTGCTAATTTTCCATTCATTTTGCAGACTGTTCCAAGCTAGAGGAGCTGCGCATGGGGCTATTTCAGGGTCATAAGTTTTGATCATTCAAAAAAAATACAATTTATTTGAAAGTTCAAGTTTTTATCCTGAACTTTGAAAAATACAATGATGTATTCAAACCAAAAATAAGTATTTGAAATCATTTTTCAGGTTGAATATTATTTTGATTCAGTTCAGCAATTTTTTTAAATAAAATATTTATTTTCATATTTCATATTTTTTCAGTTTCAAATCTGTTTTTTTCAGGTTTCACATTGCTTTTCACCTTCAGATCGTTTTTCACTTTCAGATCTTTTTTTTCCGCTTTCAGATCTTTTTTTTTCGCTTTCAAACTTTTGGCCCTGTTGTTGCTTGGGGGGGCGGGGCTTACCAAAGAGTAGTTTGGCATCCTGAGTGGCAGGCCTCCCTCTGTCATGTTGCCTTCATGGATGTTAGGTAGCGTGAGAAATATAACTCAACACTTTCTACACACAATAGTCCCGTGATTGGTGGTTAACAAAACTGATACCAGCGTCAAAGTTCCGTTAAGCGAGCTGTTGAGCATCGTAGTTGGCAACAATCAAGGTATAAGAGCAATAAACTGTGCTAGAATGTGAAATTACGTATCCGCAATCAAGTGTTGTCCTTCCCCACTTCCACGTAGCTCCATGAACGCAGCATAGTATTGGCTTGGTTTTTACGATCAGAATCAGAATCAGAATACCTTATAATAGTCCCACAGGGGATACATTTACATTGTTACAGCAGACAAGAGCCAAATACAGCTTAATGTTACCTAAGGCATGCATACAAAAAGTATTAAAGATTAAAAAAATTAATTATATATTTTTTTAAAGTTACACATTTTACATAATACACACCCTGTAACAGTTCTGCGGATTTAGCAGCCAGGTATATATTGCACAGTTTTTAACGGCATATATATATTGCACATATTGCAAATATTGCACATAGTTGGTATTTATCAACAAGAGGTGTTATGTTATAGTCTGTGTTGTTTTGTGCGGGGTCTACTAGGACTGTGCTGGTTGTATAGTCTGACCGCTGCAGGAAGGAAGGACCCACATTCTAGCACAGTTTATTGCTCTTATACCTTGATTGTTGCCAACTACGATGCTCAACAGCTCGCTTAACGGAACTTTGACGCTGGTATCAGTTTTGTTAACCACCAATCACGGGAGTATTGTGTGTAGAAAGTATTGAGTTATATTTCTCACGCTACCTAACATCCATGAAGGCAACATGACAGAGGGAGGCCTGCCACTCAGGATGCCAAACTACTCTTTGGTAAGCCCCGCCCCCCAAACAACATCAGGGCCAAAAGTTTGAAAGCGAAAAAAAAAGATCTGAAAGCGAAAAAAAAAGATCTGAAAGTGAAAAACGATCTGAAGGTGAAAAAATTATTGTTTTGAATCTGAAAACGAAAAATCTGCAACTGAAAAAAATAAGGATTCAAATATCAAAATATGTATACAAGTGAAATATGAAAATAAATATTTTATTCAAAGAAATTGCTGAACTGAATCAAAATAATATTCAACCTGAAAAATGATTTCAAATACTTATTTTTATTTTGAATACATCATTGTATTTTTCAAAGTTCAGGATAAAAACTTGAACTTTCAAATAAATTGTATTTTTTTGAAAGATCAAAACTTATGACCCTGAAATAGCTCCATAGCTGCGCACATAAAAGCTTTCGTCCCTAAGTCAGTCCTAGCACTTGGCACATGTAACAAAGCCACATCATGAGATCTCAGGCAATAGCTACTTGCGACTCTGTGTGATCAGAGCATACAGTGTTTCCCCTACCATTGTCTTGGAGGGGCGCTGCGCCCCGCCAACAGAGCCCCGCCAACGGAGCCCCGCCAACGGAGCCCCACCAACGGAGCCCCACCAACGGAGCCAACGGAGCCCCGCCAATGGAGCCCCGCAAACGGAGCCCCGCCAACGGAGCCCCACCAACGGAGCCAACGGAGCCCCACCAACGGAGCCAACGGAGCCAACGGAGCCAATGGAGCCCCGCCAACGGAGCCCCGCCAACGGAGCCCCGCCAACGGAGCCCCACCAACGGAGCCAACGGAGCCAACGGAGCCAATGGAGCCCCGCCAACGGAGCCCCGCCAACGGAGCCCCGCCAACGGAGCCCCACCAACGGAGCCAACGGAGCCCCGCCAACGGAGCCAACGGAGCCAACGGAGCCCCACGCCCCCGTGAAATTCAAAGTGTTTTAAAAATAAAAAAAAGTTTTAGTTTTTTTATAAACATTTTTTTAAATACATATATATAGCACCAAATTGCAACTAATCTATATCTACTGTCACTTTTCACATTGAACATGCGCTCTTTTATTAAAGGGGACCTATCATGCAAAATGCACTTGTGTACGTCTTTTCTACATGAATATGTGTCCCCGGTGTTCCAGGGAACTCACCAAGTGTCAGAAAACACAACCCTCTCTATTTTCCTCCATACCCAAATCTCTAAAAAAGGGGCTGCAACGGATCTGATAAAAACTGATCCAGATTTGAACACTGTCCTGACGTCAGGACGGTGGCGCTACGGCTATTGGGCCAACTCCACCAATCAGGAGGAGACAGCCACGGCCATTGCCGTTCGAAAGCGCTGGAGACGCTGTAGTACATATGCCAGGCCTGTAGGTGGTGCTGTTCTCACTGAATCAGCCCTTGCTAAAACAGAGCTAAAAAATGTCAAATTGAGCAAAATGAGGCATGGCTAAAATGCATGATCTGTTTGGTATTTTGAAAAAAAAAAAGTATAAATATGCCTTATATAGGTATGGTCCTACACTATATTATTAAAATGTAGCATGATAGGTCCACTTTAAATAAACTAAACGCTTTCATTTTAAGTTGTGAGTTTAGTGTTTTTGACCCTAAGAAACACTGATGCATTAATCAATAACAATAATCCACAGCTCCTCTCTCTCTGCTCCAGAGGGTTTAAAAAATATATATCCCAATGCCCACCCCCCCAAAGCAGTAAACCTAGGGGAAACACTGGCATATATAAGGTGGTAGTTTACCCAGCATGGCTTTATAGATGAACATGTACCAATGACTGAGCCTCCAGGGTACAGTGATGAGTTAATACCTTACTGTAAGACTTACTGTAAGGTATTAACCCATCACTGTACCCTGTATGCTAGGGCAGGTCTGCCTTCACTTACTGAGTAAGTGAAGGCAAACCTGAGTTAATACTTTACAGTTAGTAACACATCTCAGAGCACTGTGATAGGCGGCATCTAACCTTTCCAGGCAATGGGCAGGTGCATTCATATAGATCAGATCACCATAGTCCAGCAGAGGTCAAAAGGTCACAGAGCCTTTTCCTGAGAAGTGAGAAACAGGACTTGTTTCTGAAAAAGAAACCAAGCTTCACTCTCAGCTTTCTAAGCAGATTATTGACCTGAGGTTTATGATTCTTGTAATTGATGTAAACATTATTAATTTATCAAAATGTATTTAATTGATTAAACAAATATCCCTCTTCATTTCAAAGGTTTTAATTTAATGTATTAAAGAAGTTAAAAAATGCTTTATTACATTTATATTTTAATTATTAAAAAGTAATTTTACTGATAAAATATTTTGTATAAAACAATATTATTGATTTGAAAACGTTTTTCTAAATAAATGAATATTGTATTGATTTAAAAGTATTTTTAGTATTTATTATACTATTATGTTATCGTGATAAAAATGATTTTATCTATTTAGGAAATATTTATTAATTTAATGTATTTAATAATACTTTAATATATAACGTTTTTATTGAATTCAATATATATAAATATATATATATATATATATATATATATATATAGATTTATTTATAAATAAATAATTTAATTGATCAAAACATATATTTTATTGACTTGGATTTAGTGTATTGATTTTTATAGATTAGAAACAGTTTAATATAAGCTTTATATTGTGTTGAATGTTTGATTTATTGACCTCAGAAAACATATAAAAATAAGACTCTCTTCAGTCTGTCTCATTCCTGAAGTATTGATTTGAGTTAGCATGTTAGCATGTTGTTAGCATGCTGATGGAGCAGCTGCAGCTGTTATTATCAATAATATAAATAACTGTTAGCAATAAACACATGAGAGAGATGAGTCTGAGGTGAGAGCAGAGATCAGCTGAGAGTCATTTCACTCTGAAAACTGTCACTTACCAAGAGTTTAACGACGAGGAAAACTTCTGCGTCACGACCATAGACTGTATATATAAAGGTCACAACG